CATTGACCCCTTCTGTCCTTAGGGTTTAGGGTTCTTGCATGCACTCCTTCGACCCTCCGCCTTGCGCCCTCTCACCATCGCCTTGCCTCTTACCTCGTTGTCGCCTCTCACGCCGTTCTCACGCCTCTCACCTCGTTCTCGAATCTCTGCAGCTGCTCAAGAGTCTGTCTAACTGCACACGCCTTGCTCTCATCCCCCACACCCCTTTCTCTTTCCTCTCCCTCGCTTTTGAGTCGACTCAAAAGCAGACTCGCTTTTGAGTCGACTCAAAAGCAGACTCGCTTTTGAGTCGACTCAAAAGCAGACTCGCTTTTGAGTCGACTCAAAAGCTGCCTCTCACCTCGTTCTCGAACTCTGCAGCTGCTCAAGAGTCTGTCTAACTGCACACGCCTTGCTCTCATCCCCCACACCCCCCTTTCTCTTTCCTCTCCCTCGCTTTTGAGTCGACTCAATGCTGCCTCTCACCTCGTTCTCGAACTCTGCAGCTGCTCAAGAGTCTGTCTAACTGCACACGCCTTGCTCTCATCCCCCACACCCCTTTCTCTTTCCTCTCCCTCGCATGCACTCCCCTCGCCTCTCGCCCCTCATGCATGTGCAGCTGCTCAAGAGCCTGCCTAACTGCACTGAGAATGTCAAGAGTAAGTCGCCTGGGCCGAGGACTTGGGGGCTTGGGGCAGTCCCTTGAGCATAGTTTTTGTTTGCGAGTTTTTTCCGAGTTGTTGTTGTTGTTGTTGTTGTTGTTGTTGTTGTTGTTGTTGTTGTTTTTTTTTTTTTGAGAGAATTGCATCCTTCATAGATGAAGCTCTGATCTACCAGCTTCTCACACACCCGCCTATCGCACACTTGGCATTTTCCTAGCATCTATAATCTCCTTCCCAACCTCTCTCCCTCCCATCCCACCTTCCATCCAGGAGAATGATGCCACGGGAATGTTGCCACATTCGTTTTTGTCAACCGGCCTTCCGATTTTTCTCCTTTCGAGTCGACTCAAAAGTCGACTCAGAACTCACCTTCCATCCTGGAGAACTTTGCCACGGGAATGTTGCCACATTCGTTTTTGTCAACCCGCCTGCCGAAATTTCTCCATTCTCCCTCCCCCCTCACCTTCCCCCCTTCTCCTTCCCCTCCCCCTTTTCTTCTCTCTCACCCTCCGCTTCTCTCTTCTTCCTCTCCCTCCATTCATATAATTCTTCCCTTCCCCCCACCAGCCGTGGTGAGCATGGGGGCGCTGGATGCGGATTCAGCCAAGGCGCTCACAGACATGGGCATCCGAGGAGTCACCTGGGACGACTTTTTAAAGGAGGTGAGTCAACGAGGGTCAATGCTGGTCAACGCAGGTCAATGGCAGTCAATTGCTGAGGCGCCTCAAATGTCAGCTAAGGCGCTGGCAAATCATAGGCATCTGAGTCAGCTGGGACGACTTTCTCAAGGAGGTGAGTCAACGCAGGTCAATGGCAGTCAATGGCAGTCAATGGCAGTATGCACGTGATCATTTTTAGAGTTGGCATGCATATGAATTCTGATCTTCTCCTCCCTTCGTCCTCCCCACCTACCGTCTCCCTTTCTACTTTCCTCTCCTCCTCTCCTCCTTCCCTCCTCTCTTCCCCTTTTCCTTCCCTGCCGTTTCTGCTGGTCCACACTCATCCCCTTCCCTCTGTCCTCTGAATCTGTGTGCACTGTCCCCTGCCCCTACTCATCAGGGCGAGGAGAAGCCAGTGGAGCCATGCCCGTCCAAGCCAGAGGACATCTGCACCATCATGTACACCTCAGGTGGGTTCAGGTGGTTTGTCATGTACACCTCAGGTGGGTTCAGATGCTTCCTTAGGTGGGTTTCAGATCAGACTGGTGGTTTTCTCTGGTAGGTACTAAGGGAGAGCCCAAGGGCGTGCTTACAGCTCACTCACTCTTGTTCTGACGCCTACATCTCCTACAGCTCACTCACTCTTGTTCTGACGCCTACATCTCCTACAGCTCACTCACTCTTGTTCCCCCTCACGCTCTGGCGCGTCTCATCGCTCCCATCATCTCTGTCCACTTATTTCAGCCGCCCCCCCCTGTTGTCCTTCCACCCCTCAATCGATAGGCACCACGGGCGAGCCCAAGGGCGTTCTTACCCACTCATTTTTCTTCTCCCTCACGCTTTGACGCGCCTCATCGCTCCCATCATCTCTGTCCATGAGGTGACTTTTGAGTCGACGCAAAGGTTTCTCCCTCATGCTTTGACGTGGCTCATTACTCCCATCATCTCTCCCCAACCGTGCCAACCGCCCCCCCCTGTTGTCCTTCCACCCCTCAATCGATAGGCACCACGGGCGAGCCCAAGGGAGTGCTTATAACGAATCATGCCCTTGCCACTGCTGTAGCGGGCACCAAGCGGTTCTGCGAGGTCAACAACTGTGTGGTGAGTGGGGATGGGGTTGGGTGGGTGGCAAGCTTTTAAGGCGCCTTAAAAAGCGCCTTTTGAGGCGCCTTAACAGGTGCTTCTGCAAGGTTAACAACTGTGTGGTGAGTGGGAGTAAAGGGGGAAGGCGGGGGTGGTGGGAGAGGAGGAGAAGGGGAGGCAGGGCCTTGGATTGGATGTCCCATCAGTGTAGGTGTAGGGTGCTCCCTGCCACTGCTGTAGCGAGCACCAAGCGCTTCTGCGAGGTCAACAACTGTGTGGTGAGTGGGCAGTAGGGGGGGGGGGGGGGGGGGGGGGGGGGGGGGGATCACGATTATGCGTCCATGTCCACTCTCATGCCGGCTGTCCAAGCCCCTCTCGCCACTGCCGTGGCGGGCACCAAGCGCTTCTGCGAGGTCCAACACCTGTGTGGTGCGCGGAGGGGAAGCAGGGGGGTGGGGGAGAGAAGGGGATGCATAGGCCTGGATGCTGCGCCAGCGGTGGACTCTCGCCACTGCTGTTAGCCGGCACCCAAGTGCTTCTGCGAGGTTACCAACTGCGTGGTGAGTGGGCAGTAGGGGAGTGGTTACTGCACTGTTGCTGCTGCGGCCACAACACAACAGCTGCTCGCATCTTCAACCACCAGTTCCTGTTGTTGCCCTCCACTCCCCACTCTCTCCCCCTCCCCCTTTCACAGCTCACCCAGCAGACATCGACATCTGTTGCGCCTCTCTCCCTCTTCCGCACATATTCGACCGCGGAGGAGACGAGATGAGCTCCTCCCCTTGATATGCGCTGTGTTTCCCTCCTTGCCCACCCCCATCACAGCTCACCCCAGCGGATATCTACATATCCTACCTGCCCCTGGCACATATCTTTGACCGCGTGGCAGAGCAGCTCATGACGTCTCCCTTTGATGTCCTCTGTATCCCCCACACCCCTCCCACCCTCACAAGCTCACCGAAGCGGATATCTACATATCCTACCTGCCCCTGGCACACATCTTTGACCGCGTGGCAGAGCAGTTCATGACGGTCTCCCTTTGATGTCCTCTGTATCCCCCACACCCCTCCCACCCTCACAGCTCACCGAAGCGGATATCTACATTTCCTACCTGCCCCTGGCACACATCTTTGACCGCGTGGGCCGAGGAGCTCATGACGTCTCCCTTTGATGTCCTCTGTATCCCCCACACCCCTCCCACCCTCACAGCTCACCGAAGCGGATATCTACATTTCCTACCTGCCCCTGGCACACATCTTTGACCGCGTGGCCGAGGAGCTCATGACCCATGTGGGGGCTCCATTGGCTTCTGGCAAGGGGTGAGTGAGATGCGGTGGTGATGGATGGGTTGCGGTGGAATGCGGTGGTGAGGGATGGAATGCGGAGGTGGGGGGGTAGATGTGATGGTGATGGGTTTGACACAGTGTTGAGAGGTGGGACGCGGATGTGCACAGCACGTCTCCTATCTGCCCCTGGGCGCATATCAATTAACCGCATCGCGAAGGAGCTTATGACGCACCTGGGCGGCTCCATTGGCTTCTGGCAAGGGGTGCGACGCGGTGGTGAGGGGTGAGATGCGGTGGGATGCGGTGGTGGGGGGTGAGACGCGGTGGTGAGGTCTGGTGGGGGGTGAGATGTGGTAGGTCTATGGCACACATATCGTGGCAGAGGAGCTCATGGCGCTCAAGCCAGCCCCGCCGCACACACTCGCCCTCTTCCTTTTCGCTTCCCTTCTCTCCTCCCCTCCACTGCACTTGTATGCCCGCCACTCCCCTTATCCCACCAGGACGTGAGGCGGCTCACAGACGACCTGGAGGCCCTCAAGCCCACCTCGCCTCACACACCGTCCCCTTCCCTTCCTTCCCCTACCCCTCCATTGCCCCTTGAACTCCGCCCTTCCCCCCCCCTTCTCCCGCACCCCATCAAGACGTGAAGCTGCCCACAGCCAACCTCCAGGCCCTTAAGCCCAACTCTCCTCACACACCCTGCACTCCCTCCCCTGTCCTTTCCCCTTCGCTCCCCCCGCACTTCCACACCCTTCTTTCCAACCCCATCAGGACGTGAGGAACCTCACAACGACTTGGAGGCCCTCAAGCCCACCTTCTTCTGCGGAGTGCCGCGCATCTTTGACCGCATCCACTCGGGTAGGGCCCTTGGGACATGCACCTTGCATCCCTACCCCTCTGTGTGCCACGAGCAAGCAAGCAAGCAAGGCAGTCAGCGTCGCACTTCTTCTGCGGAGTGCCGCGCATCTTTGACCGCATCCACTCGGGTAGGGGCCTGATTGACTCAGTGTGCTGTGCTTATCCGCAAACGCCCCTGCCGTCGCATTTCCCACAAGCAAGCCAGGGACTAACCTTCGGTATGACTTCTGAGAATTCTCAAAAGTCGTACCAAGCGAGGATCCCATGCACCTACCTCATTTCCCCATTCCCTGTGCCTCTCTATTCCCTTCCCTTCATCTCAGCCGTCATCTCTAAGATTGAGTCCACGGGCGGGCTCACCAAGATGCTGTTCGACTATGCCTACAGCAGCAAGCAAGCCAGGCTAACTCATTTGCCCCCTCTATTCCCTCTGCCCACTCTATTTCCCCTCACCATCCCAGCCGTCATCTCTAAGATTGAGTCCACGGGCGGGCTCACCAAGATGCTGTTCGACTATGCCTACAGCAGCAAGCAAGCGCGGCTGGCAGCAGGGGTGAAGATTCGAGACGCACGCCAATCTTTGACTTCCTCGTCTTCAGCAAGGTGAGTGGGTGGCTGTGGGTAGGTGGTGGGTGGGTGGGTGGTGTGGCTGTGGGTAGGTGGGTGGGTAGGTGGGTGGGTGGGTGGGTGGGTGGGTGGCAGCAGGAGTGAAGATCCGAGATGCCACTCCCATTTTTGACTTCCTCGTCTTCAGCAAGGTGAGTGGGTGGCTGTGGGGTGGGTGCGAGAGGAGAGGTCAGCATGTGCGTTCGGAAGAGGTGCCTTGATCAATGAACACGCACCGGTGGCAGCGGCAGGGGTGAAGATCCGACACGCCATGCCCATTCTTGACTTGTTTGTATTTAACAGGGTGAGTTTGTGTGGCTGTGGGTGGGTGAGGAGAGGTGAGCGTGTGAGTCTCTAGAGGTGCCTTGAACGCACACAGCTGGCAGCAGAGCAGCAGGGGTGAAGATACGACATGCCATGCCCATTCTTGACTTCTTTGTATTTAACAGGGTGAGTTTGTGTGGCTGTGGGTGGGTGAGGAGAGGTGAGCGTGTGAGTCTCTAGAGGTGCCTTGAACGCACACAGCTGGCAGCAGAGCAGCAGGGGTGAAGATCCGACACGCCATGCCCATATTTAATCCCCCACCCCACGTCTTTCCTCCACCTCACTCCTGCCACAGATCAAGGCGCGGCTGGGCGGCAACGTGCGGATTATCTGCTCCGGTGCCGCCCCTCTCGCCCCTCACGTGGAGGAGTTTTTGAAGATCGCCATGTGCTGCCCCGTGGTGCAGGGGTATGGTGAGTTTGAGAGCGGTACAGTGCGATTGAGGGGTACGGTGAGTCCGCCACATGGTGCAGGGGTATGGTGAGTGTGATCCTATGCGAAAAAAAGGGGGTTTGGGTTGGATGGAGTGACTAGAGTGGTGGGAAGCGGTGCTGCCCGGTGACTGTCTGGTTGGTGTCGCCCTTCTCCTCCGTGCCCTTCTCCTCCTTGCCCGTCCCGCGCCTCACAAGGATGGAGGTGTGCTTGAAAGATTGCCATGTGCTGCCACGTGCAATTTCCTTCCCCCCACCCCTCCCCCACACACCCTCCCTCCCCTTCCCCCAGGCCTCACGGAGACCAACACGAGCGGCTTCATCTCGTACGCGGATCGCATCGAGCAGGCCACCACTGTTGGGCCGCCCATGCGCAGCCATCTCACTCCTATGCCCCTCACAACCCTTTCCTCTGCCGCCGCTTCTCTTTAACACCCCCAGGTCTAACCGAGACCAACACGAGCGGCTTCATCTCGTATGCGGATCGCATAGAGCAGGCCGGCACGGTGGGCCCGCCCATGCCCACGCTCGAAACCCGCCTCGAATCCATCCCGGAAATGAACTACGATGCTATCGGCAGCACCAAGCAGGAAGGCGAATCAGGAGAGGCGCAGGTGCACCCCCCCCGTGGGGAGGTGTGCATTCGCGGGCCGATTCTCTTCTCGGGGTATTACAAGCGGGAGGATCTGACGAAAGAGGCGGTGGATGCGGAGGGGTGGTTCCACACGGGTGATATTGGCGAGTGGCAGGCGGATGGATCAATGAAAATCATTGATCGGAAGAAGAACATCTTTAAACTCGCGCAGGGCGAGTATGTGGCTGTGGAGAACCTCGAGAACGTGTTTGGCAACTGCACGGCTTTGGATATGGTGAGTTGGCCTGAAAGTTTTGAACATTTGTGCCGGTAGGAAGATGGGGTGTGTGGCGCTAGTACCATCCGTGCGAGTACCAAGGTGGCGAGTGGCAGGCGGACGGGTCGATGAAGATCATCGATCAAAAGAAGAACATTTTAAGTTGGCTCAAGGGGAGTATGTGGCTGTGGAGAACCTCGAGAACGTGTTTGGCAACTGCACGGCTTTGGATATGGTGAGTTGGCCTGAAAGTTTTGAACATTTGTGCCGGTAGGAAGATGGGGTGTGTGGCGCTAGTACCATCCGTGCGAGTACCAAGGTGGCGAGTGGCAGGCGGACGGGTCGATGAAGATCATCGATCAAAAGAAGAACATTTTTAAGTTGGCTCAAGGGGAGTATGTGGCTGTGGAGAACCTCGAGAACGTGTTTGGCAACTGCACGGCTTTGGATATGGTGAGGCGGTGTTTCTATTTGGGGGTGTGTGGCGGTAGTACCATCCGTGCCAGTGTGGCAGATGGAGTGGCGAGTGGCAGATGGGTCGATGAAGATCATCGACAGGAAGAAGAATATTTTCAAACTGGCGCAAGGGGAGTATGTGGCTGTGGAGAATCTCGAGAACGTGTTTGGCTGGTTTTTGACATGTTTGGCAACTGCACGGCTCTTGACATGGTGAGTGGTGGTGTGGAGATGGTATTATCCGTACAGTATATCAGTCCTCCAAGCTGACTCAAGGGGAGTATGTGGCTGTGGAGAAGCTCGAGAACATGTTTGGCAACTGCACGGCTCTTGACATGGTGAGTGGTGGTGTGGAGATGGTATTATCCGTACAGTATATCAGTCCTCCAAGCTGGCTCAAGGGGAGTATGTGGCTGTGGAGAAGCTCGAGAACATGTTTGGCAACTGCACGGCTCTTGACATGGTGAGTGGTGGTGTGGAGATGGTATTATCCGTACAGTATATCAGTCCTCCAAGCTGGCTCAAGGGGAGTATGTGGCTGTGGAGAAGCTCGAGAACATGTTTGGCAACTGCACGGCTCTTGACATGGTGAGTGGTGGTGTGGAGATGGTATTATCCGTACAGTATATCAGTCCTCCAAGCTGGCTCAAGGGGAGTATGTGGCTGTGGAGAAGCTCGAGAACATGTTTGGCAACTGCACGGCTCTTGACATGGTGAGTGGTGGTGTGGAGATGGTATTATCCGTACAGTATATCAGTCCTCCAAGCTGGCTCAAGGGGAGTATGTGGCTGTGGAGAAGCCCGAGAACATGTTTGGCAACTGCACGGCTCTTGACATGGTGAGTGGTGGTGTGGAGATGGTATTATCCGTACAGTATATCAGTCCTCCAAGCTGGCTCAAGGGGAGTATGTGGCTGTGGAGAAGCTCGAGAACATGTTTGGCAACTGCACGGCTCTTGACATGGTGAGTGGTGGTGTGGAGATGGTATTATCCGTACAGTATATCAGTCCTCCAAGCTGGCTCAAGGGGAGTATGTGGCTGTGGAGAAGCTCGAGAACATGTTTGGCAACTGCACGGCTCTTGACATGGTGAGTGGTGGTGTGGAGATGGTATTATCCGTACAGTATATCAGTCCTCCAAGCTGGCTCAAGGGGAGTATGTGGCTGTGGAGAAGCTCGAGAACATGTTTGGCAACTGCACGGCTCTTGACATGGTGAGTGGTGGTGTGGAGATGGTATTATCCGTACAGTATATCAGTCCTCCAAGCTGGCTCAAGGGGAGTATGTGGCTGTGGAGAAGCTCGAGAACATGTTTGGCAACTGCACTGCACGGCTCTTGACATGGTGAGTGGTGGTGTGGAGATGGTATTATCCGTACAGTATATCAGTCCTCCAAGCTGGCTCAAGGGGAGTATGTGGCTGTGGAGAATCTCGAGAACATGTTTGGCAACTGCACTGCACGGCTCTTGACATGGTGAGTGGTGGTGTGGAGATGGTATTATCCGTACAGTATATCAGTCCTCCAAGCTGGCTCAAGGGGAGTATGTGGCTGTGGAGAAGCTCGAGAACATGTTTGGCAACTGCACGGCTCTTGACATGGTGAGTGGTGGTGTGGAGATGGTATTATCCGTACAGTATATCAGTCCTCCAAGCTGGCTCAAGGGGAGTATGTGGCTGTGGAGAAGCTCGAGAACATGTTTGGCAACTGCACGGCTCTTGACATGGTGAGTGGTGGTGTGGAGATGGTATTATCCGTACAGTATATCAGTCCTCCAAGCTGGCTCAAGGGGAGTATGTGGCTGTGGAGAAGCTCGAGAACATGTTTGGCAACTGCACTGCACGGCTCTTGACATGGTGAGTGGTGGTGTGGAGATGGTATTATCCGTACAGTATATCAGTCCTCCAAGCTGGCTCAAGGGGAGTATGTGGCTGTGGAGAATCTCGAGAACATGTTTGGCAACTGCACTGCACGGCTCTTGACATGGTGAGTGGTGGTGTGGAGATGGTATTATCCGTACAGTATATCAGTCCTCCAAGCTGGCTCAAGGGGAGTATGTGGCTGTGGAGAAGCTCGAGAACATGTTTGGCAACTGCACTGCACGGCTCTTGACATGGTGAGTGGTGGTGTGGAGATGGTATTTTCCGTACGGTATATCAGTCCTCCAAGCTGGCTCAAGGGGAGTATGTGGCTGTGGAGAATCTCGAGAACATGTTTGGCAACTGCACTGCACGGCTCTTGACATGGTGAGTGGTGGTGTGGAGATGGTATTTTCCGTACGGTATATCAGTCCTCCAAGCTGGCTCAAGGGGAGTATGTGGCTGTGGAGAATCTCGAGAACGTGTTTGGCAACTGCATGACATAGAGTGGGTCAAGGGAGTTATGCTGCCCACCCCTCCCTGTCTCACTCCTTTGATCTCCCTCCCCCCACTGCTCTCATCAAACTAATGTGAACTCCTGCAGGTGTGGGTGTATGGCAACAGCTTTGAAGCAGTGCTGGTGGCGGTGGTGGTGCCAAACAAGCCAACGCTGTTGGAGTGGGCCAAGGGGGCGGGTGTGGAGGGGGATTATGCTGCCGTGTGCGCCACTGAGGAGGCAAAGAAATTTATTCTCGGGCAGCTGACCGACACGGGCAAGAAGGGCAAGGTAAGATTCTTAGGCTGCCCGTGCTTCTTTCTCTCTTATTTCAAAACTTCACCCCGCATCACCCTTCACAGTACATGCGCAATCTACCATACTATACCCACTCTGCGCATGAACTAGAGGGCTTGTGAGATTGTAAGAGCGGTGCATGTGGAGCCGAGGCCGTCGATCTAAAATGCCTTTCCCTCCCCCCTTCCTCCTCCTCCCTTTTTGGTCCCCTGTGCTCTGTGTTCCCCAGCTGAAGGGATTCGAGATGGTGAAGGCGGTGCATCTGGACTCCCAGCCGTTTGACATGGAGAGGGATCTGCTCACACCCACGTTCAAGAAGAAGCGGGCCGCAGCTGCTTAAGTACTACCAGGTGGGTTCAGTGGTCCAGTCCTGACGTGCATAGTGGCTTTGGTGCCGAGGCTGGTGTGTTGTCAAACTGTGTGACATCATTAAGAAGTCCCAGTCAGCCATTCGACATGGAAAGGGATCTGCTGACGCCCACGTTCAAGAAGAAGCGCCCGCAGCTGCTCAAGTACTACCAGGTCGGACGCTGATGCGCCCTGCACCAGTGCGCCCTGCACCAGGCTGCGTGCACCAGTGCGCCCTGCACCAGTGCTCCCTGCACCAGGCTGCGTGCATGTGCTCATCCTCACGTTCAAGAAGAAGCGCCCGCAGCTGCTCAAGTACTACCAGGTGGGTCTCAGCAGTTGGCGGACCATACCTGCTTCTGGCCTCCGTGCATCTTGGAGGGGGTTGTGCATTAGAGTAGCAGCGCCTTCAGCAGCTGAGGGCGCCTTGCATCTCCAGCTCAAAAAGCAGCGCCTTCAGCTGCTGGAGCACTACCAGGTGGGTTCATCCTTCAATGTACCGTAGTGATGTTTAAGGGCGGATTCGATCGCAGCAAGCCAACTGAGGTCGCTCGTGTCTAGATCTAAATGGATCTAACCAGATTCGACTAGGAGAGAAGAAAGCGAGTAGTGCTGCTCGAGCACTACCCGGTGGATTCATCCTTCAACATACCGTAGTGAGCTTATACCTTGCGGGTTTTAGCCACCGTGAGCTTTAATTCTCTCTCACATCTGCCACCCTGCGTCTCCCTGCCATGCCTCTCCCCACCTTGCGGGTTTTAGCCACCGTGAGCTTCAATTCTCTCTCACATCTGCCACCTTGCGCCTCCCTGCCGTGCCTCTCCCCACCTTCCCTCTCCCCGCCTTGCTTCTGCCCACCACCAGGCACAAATCGACGCCATGTATGCAGGTCTCAAGAAGTAAAACCCCCAACAAGCGAGGTTCGGCCCAAATCTTGAAAGAATGAGCTCCGGAAATATGAAGCTTCCTCAAGATGAAGCTTGGAAGGAGGATGATTCGGCTCTTACGGTAATATGATTCGAACTCACTAAGAAGCAAGTGGGTTGTGACTGACCTTTGACAAGAGACAAAAGTAAACGTTCTTATTTGCGCTACATTGTAGATATAGGAAATCTTAGAGTACATTTAGTAGCTGTGAGCCCGTGGGGATTCATTTCTGCTTGTAAAATAGTGATATACAAGGCCACAACTTGTAGTAACACTAGCATAAGTGATGCAAAAAACATGCATATAATCGAATTGGATTGTTTTGCCGAAAACCATGCATATGCTCGAACCTTGTTCCACCACCTCAAACCGTTTAGAGTGCTCCGTCTACTTAATCAGCGTCGGCTCTAGTTTATCCAGGAAACGTTGTCGAATCACAACTCTATACACGGGTAGTGGCTTCTTGCACAGCCGCGTCGCGTCGTATCGCGCAACTCGCTCCCCGCCCCGCATCCTCGTAATCGCCCCCCTTTTCCCCTCACATGGCGGAATACCGCGCGGAATCCAAACCTTGAAAATACCGGTTACAAATGTAGAAGTCCCTGCCGCTTTGATTTCGACCGTTGCACATTTTATTTCCTGATGGTGGGAGATTTGCGGGTGGACGATAGAGCGGGAGTTGCGGCGGCGGAGAGATGGGGGGACGATACGCGGGCAGGCAGTACAGGTGCCGGGGATAGCGCAAGCCATGACGGCACGGCCGGCGCGGTCGTCCCTGCAGCACATGACCCGGGGAGTCGAGGCGATGAAACTGCGGTGCAGAGAGGTGCTGAGGGGTGCTTCGAGGGGGTGGTAAGGGACGATAGTGCGGCAGGCGGTTCGCAGAGGGATAGTGCAAGTCGTGGCAGCACGGCCGTGACGGCAACTCATGCGTCTCGAGCGACGGTTCAAAGCGGTGCTGAGGGGTGCATCGAAGGGGGATCAGCGGATTGTGCAAGTCGTGGCAGCACGGCCGTGACGGCAGCTCAGGGGCCTCGAGACCATCATACCACGGCGGTTGAGAGCGGTGCCGAGGGGTGCATGCGGGAGGGGGAAGCGGTGGAGGCCAGGGACGCGGAGAGTGCAGGCACGGCGGAGCGGAGACTACCGGACGGGGGAGTGGCTTCTACAGGGATAAGCGGACGAGGTGCAGTGGCGGAGGGATTGGCGGAGGATGAGGCGGAGGCGGAGGGAGTGGCGGAGGGGGTGGCGGAGCGGATCCGCGCGCTGGTGGATGTGGGGGACATGGGCGCAGTGCGGGAGGCGCAAGGGGCGAGGTGAGGGCGCGGGGAGAAGGGGGAGGACGGCGTGGGAGCATTTTAACGCCTTCTCGCTCATGGCTTTGGGTCCATTCCTCGTTCCCTCCCCTCTACCCTCCCTCCTCCCTCCTCCACCTCTCCTTTTGAGTCGACGAAAAAGTGTGTGGCGGAGGAGGGAAGGGCGCCGCGTCCGTTGAAAATTCTCTTCCCTCTACCCTCCCTCGTCCCCCTCTCCTCCTCGCCTTCGCCCAACGTATCAGCCTGGGCGCGCTACAGGACACGGCGGCCATCCTGGCGCATTTCAACGCCTTCTCGCTCAAGGCTCTCGCGTCTGAAGCCCCCGCCATGCGCGCACACACTGCTGCCCTGCACGCCTTACAGAGTGATCTCATGCGCACATTCAGAAAAATCAGGTGTGAAGGGGAGGGGGGAGTTGAGAGGGTGGTGGGGCTGGGGTAGTGGCTGGAAGGAACGAGGGGTTCTTGCTCAGGGCGCTGGCGTCTGAAGAGCCTGCCATGCGTGCCTGAAGCGCTCGTTCCATGAAATGAGTCGAGTTTTGAGTCGACTCAAAACTCGACTCATTTCACGCTGCCGTCTGAAGAGCCTGCCATGCGTGCGCGCCTGTTTCTTGAGAATTCTAAAAAAACACGCGCTGCCGTCTGAAGAGCCTGCCATGCGTGCCTGAAGCGCTCGTTCCATGAAATGAGTCGAGTTTTGAGTCGACTCAAAACTCGACTCATTTCACGCTGCCGTCTGAAGAGCCTGCCATGCGTGCGCGCCTGTTTTTTGAGAATTCTAAAAAAACACGCGCTGCCGTCTGAAGAGCCTGCCATGCGTGCCTGAAGCGCTCGTTCCATGAAATGAGTCGAGTTTTGAGTCGACTCAAAACTCGACTCATTTCACGCTGCCGTCTGAAGAGCCTGCCATGCGTGCGCGCCTGTTTTTTGAGAATTCTAAAAAAACACGCGCTGCCTGTCTGAAGAGCCTGCCATGCGTGCCTGAAGCGCTCGTTCCATGAAATGAGTCGAGTTTTGAGTCGACTCAAAACTCGACTCATTTCACGCTGCCGTCTGAAGAGCCTGCCATGCGTGCGCGCCTGTTTTTTGAGAATTCTAAAAAAACACGCGCTGCCGTCTGAAGAGCCTGCCATGCGTGCCTGAAGCGCTCGTTCCATGAAATGAGTCGAGTTTTGAGTCGACTCAAAACTCGACTCATTTCACGCTGCCGTCTGAAGAGCCTGCCATGCGTGCGCGCCTGTTTTTTGAGAATTCTAAAAAAACACGCGCTGCCGTCTGAAGAGCCTGCCATGCGTGCCTGAAGCGCTCGTTCCATGAAATGAGTCGAGTTTTGAGTCGACTCAAAACTCGACTCATTTCACGCTGCCGTCTGAAGAGCCTGCCATGCGTGCGCGCCTGTTTTTTGAGAATTCTAAAAAAACACGCGCTGCCGTCTGAAGAGCCTGCCATGCGTGCCTGAAGCGCTCGTTCCATGAAATGAGTCGAGTTTTGAGTCGACTCAAAACTCGACTCATTTCACGCTGCCGTCTGAAGAGCCTGCCATGCGTGCGCGCCTGTTTTTTGAGAATTCTAAAAAAACACGCGCTGCCGTCTGAAGAGCCTGCCATGCGTGCCTGAAGCGCTCGTTCCATGAAATGAGTCGAGTTTTGAGTCGACTCAAAACTCGACTCATTTCACGCTGCCGTCTGAAGAGCCTGCCATGCGTGCGCGCCTGTTTTTTGAGAATTCTAAAAAAACACGCGCTGCCGTCTGAAGAGCCTGCCATGCGTGCCTGAAGCGCTCGTTCCATGAAATGAGTCGAGTTTTGAGTCGACTCAAAACTCGACTCATTTCACGCTGCCGTCTGAAGAGCCTGCCATGCGTGCGCGCCTGTTTTTTGAGAATTCTAAAAAAACACGCGCTGGCCGTCTGAAGAGCCTGCCATGCGTGCCTGAAGCGCTCGTTCCATGAAATGAGTCGAGTTTTGAGTCGACTCAAAACTCGACTCATTTCACGCTGCCGTCTGAAGAGCCTGCCATGCGTGCGCGCCTGTTTTTTGAGAATTCTAAAAAAACACGCGCTGCCGTCTGAAGAGCCTGCCATGCGTGCCTGAAGCGCTCGTTCCATGAAATGAGTCGAGTTTTGAGTCGACTCAAAACTCGACTCATTTCACGCTGCCGTCTGAAGAGCCTGCCATGCGTGCGCTGCCTGTTTTTTGAGAATTCTAAAAAAACACGCGCTGGCGTCTGAAGAGCCTGCCATGCGTGCCTGAAGCGCTCGTTCCATGAAATGAGTCGAGTTTTGAGTCGACTCAAAACTCGACTCATTTCACGCTGCCGTCTGAAGAGCCTGCCATGCGTGCGCGCCTGTTTTTTGAGAATTCTAAAAAAACACGCGCTGCCGTCTGAAGAGCCTGCCATGCGTGCCTGAAGCGCTCGTTCCATGAAATGAGTCGAGTTTTGAGTCGACTCAAAACTCGACTCATTTCACGCTGCCGTCTGAAGAGCCTGCCATGCGTGCGCGCCTGTTTTTTGAGAATTCTAAAAAAACACGCGCTGCCGTCTGAAGAGCCTGCCATGCGTGCCTGAAGCGCTCGTTCCATGAAATGAGTCGAGTTTTGAGTCGACTCAAAACTCGACTCATTTCACGCTGCCGTCTGAAGAGCCTGCCATGCGTGCGCGCCTGTTTTTTGAGAATTCTAAAAAAACACGCGCTGCCGTCTGAAGAGCCTGCCATGCGTGCCTGAAGCGCTCGTTCCATGAAATGAGTCGAGTTTTGAGTCGACTCAAAACTCGACTCATTTCACGCTGCCGTCTGAAGAGCCTGCCATGCGTGCGCGCCTGTTTTTTGAGAATTCTAAAAAAACACGCGCTGCCGTCTGAAGAGCCTGCCATGCGTGCCTGAAGCGCTCGTTCCATGAAATGAGTCGAGTTTTGAGTCGACTCAAAACTCGACTCATTTCACGCTGCCGTCTGAAGAGCCTGCCATGCGTGCGCGCCTGTTTTTTGAGAATTCTAAAAAAACACGCGCTGCCGTCTGAAGAGCCTGCCATGCGTGCCTGAAGCGCTCGTTCCATGAAATGAGTCGAGTTTTGAGTCGACTCAAAACTCGACTCATTTCACGCTGCCGTCTGAAGAGCCTGCCATGCGTGCGCGCCTGTTTTTTGAGAATTCTAAAAAAACACGCGCTGGCGTCTGAAGAGCCTGCCATGCGTGCCTGAAGCGCTCGTTCCATGAAATGAGTCGAGTTTTGAGTCGACTCAAAACTCGACTCATTTCACGCTGCCGTCTGAAGAGCCTGCCATGCGTGCGCGCCTGTTTTTTGAGAATTCTAAAAAAACACGCGCTGCCGTCTGAAGAGCCTGCCATGCGTGCCTGAAGCGCTCGTTCCATGAAATGAGTCGAGTTTTGAGTCGACTCAAAACTCGACTCATTTCACGCTGCCGTCTGAAGAGCCTGCCATGCGTGCGCGCCTGTTTTTTGAGAATTCTAAAAAAACACGCGCTGCCGTCTGAAGAGCCTGCCATGCGTGCCTGAAGCGCTCGTTCCATGAAATGAGTCGAGTTTTGAGTCGACTCAAAACTCGACTCATTTCACGCTGCCGTCTGAAGAGCCTGCCATGCGTGCGCGCCTGTTTTTTGAGAATTCTAAAAAAACACGCGCTGCCGTCTGAAGAGCCTGCCATGCGTGCCTGAAGCGCTCGTTCCATGAAATGAGTCGAGTTTTGAGTCGACTCAAAACTCGACTCATTTCACGCTGCCGTCTGAAGAGCCTGCCATGCGTGCGCGCCTGTTTTTTGAGAATTCTAAAAAAACACGCGCTGCCGTCTGAAGAGCCTGCCATGCGTGCCTGAAGCGCTCGTTCCATGAAATGAGTCGAGTTTTGAGTCGACTCAAAACTCGACTCATTTCACGCTGCCGTCTGAAGAGCCTGCCATGCGTGCGCGCCTGTTTTTTGAGAATTCTAAAAAAACACGCGCTGCCGTCTGAAGAGCCTGCCATGCGTGCCTGAAGCGCTCGTTCCATGAAATGAGTCGAGTTTTGAGTCGACTCAAAACTCGACTCATTTCACGCTGCCGTCTGAAGAGCCTGCCATGCGTGCGCGCCTGTTTTTTGAGAATTCTAAAAAAACACGCGCTGCCGTCTGAAGAGCCTGCCATGCGTGCCTGAAGCGCTCGTTCCATGAAATGAGTCGAGTTTTGAGTCGACTCAAAACTCGACTCATTTCACGCTGCCGTCTGAAGAGCCTGCCATGCGTGCGCGCCTGTTTTTTGAGAATTCTAAAAAAACACGCGCTGCCGTCTGAAGAGCCTGCCATGCGTGCCTGAAGCGCTCGTTCCATGAAATGAGTCGAGTTTTGAGTCGACTCAAAACTCGACTCATTTCACGCTGCCGTCTGAAGAGCCTGCCATGCGTGCCTGCCTGTTTTTTGAGAATTCTAAAAAAACACGCGCTGGCGTCTGAAGAGCCTGCCATGCGTGCCTGAAGCGCTCGTTCCATGAAATGAGTCGAGTTTTGAGTCGACTCAAAACTCGACTCATTTCACGCTGCCGTCTGAAGAGCCTGCCATGCGTGCGCGCCTGTTTTTTGAGAATTCTAAAAAAACACGCGCTGCCGTCTGAAGAGCCTGCCATGCGTGCCTGAAGCGCTCGTTCCATGAAATGAGTCGAGTTTTGAGTCGACTCAAAACTCGACTCATTTCACGCTGCCGTCTGAAGAGCCTGCCATGCGTGCGCGCCTGTTTTTTGAGAATTCTAAAAAAACACGCGCTGCCGTCTGAAGAGCCTGCCATGCGTGCCTGAAGCGCTCGTTCCATGAAATGAGTCGAGTTTTGAGTCGACTCAAAACTCGACTCATTTCACGCTGCCGTCTGAAGAGCCTGCCATGCGTGCGCTGCCTGTTTTTTGAGAATTCTAAAAAAACACGCGCTGGCCGTCTGAAGAGCCTGCCATGCGTGCCTGAAGCGCTCGTTCCATGAAATGAGTCGAGTTTTGAGTCGACTCAAAACTCGACTCATTTCACGCTGCCGTCTGAAGAGCCTGCCATGCGTGCGCGCCTGTTTTTTGAGAATTCTAAAAAAACACGCGCTGCCGTCTGAAGAGCCTGCCATGCGTGCCTGAAGCGCTCGTTCCATGAAATGAGTCGAGTTTTGAGTCGACTCAAAACTCGACTCATTTCACGCTGCCGTCTGAAGAGCCTGCCATGCGTGCGCGCCTGTTTTTTGAGAATTCTAAAAAAACACGCGCTGCCGTCTGAAGAGCCTGCCATGCGTGCCTGAAGCGCTCGTTCCATGAAATGAGTCGAGTTTTGAGTCGACTCAAAACTCGACTCATTTCACGCTGCCGTCTGAAGAGCCTGCCATGCGTGCGCGCCTGTTTTTTGAGAATTCTAAAAAAACACGCGCTGCCGTCTGAAGAGC